GTGGTTAGAGAGCGCGAGTACAGGCGCGAACGGGCCTACAGTCCCGAGAACCCCCGCTACGAACACTACCGATACGTGGAGCCAGCTCCGAGCGAGAGTGACTTCCACGAGCGCTATCAGAGGACTCGACAGCGCAGTCGCAGCCGCGGAGGCTATGAGGATCCGAGGGGGAGCTATAGGGAGACCAACACAAGGGTGTCGATTGACGATGGAAGGCGGAGGAGGGAGTACAGGTGATTGTGCGGCTGCAACTCTCAACAAGCCTTGTTCGGTGATTCGTGGTTGGTGGTTGGTGGTTGGTGGTTGGTGGTTGGCGACTGGTAGCTTTGGGCTTTTTGTCTTTTCTTTGCATGGCGTGCGCAGATTTTTGTAGTTGTTTACTTCAACGGCCCTGTAGCATCTGTTCACAGGTTAGAAGGTCTTGTTACACCCGCACACGTATCCACGTTGGTTTCGAAATGGCTATGAGGTCACTGGTCCCAATGTTGCGCGTTCGGTGGCTAGTGTACGTGATTGAATCGTTCCGCATGCAGGGTTGCCGTCAGCGTTCTGGCCAACATTAATATTCTGAGAGCAACCGTCCAGCCACGACCGCCATACTGGACGCAACCGCATTTTGGCAAGACGGACACACACCCGGACATGGTTGAGACGCCCGTTCAGTCCGCCCCCGCTCCCGCAGTCGTCCACGGCCGACAATGTCCATCCGCGTCCTGATCAAAGATTATCCACACCGCGCAATCGCCCTCGCTACCCCAACGCACGCACTCGTCCTGCGACACAGCTCGTCGTCGACGGCGGAGAACAATGGCAATCCAAATGCCTCATCAACGTCGCTGGGCAGCAATGGCTCGGGCGCGGCGCGCTGCATGGTCGAGTTCACACGAGTGGAAGAGGTGGACCTGAGCGACTACCGCGCACTGCACTCGGCGAACGCACACGGCACGCTCGGGCTGATCACGGTGAATAACGATGTCTTCCTGGTCGTGGTCAACGGCGCGAGCAAGGTAGCTACGGTGCGGCCTGGCGAGACGGTGCAGAGGATATACTCGGTCGGATTCTACTGCCTGACCAGCACTAGCTACGATGCCCTGCTCAACGACGAAGTCAACCCCTACCCCACCGATACCATAGACGATGAGGGATATGAAATGGGCTTCGGTGGCAGGAAGGAGCAGTCGCCCATGGAGCACCCGTGTCTGGCGCTCAAGAAGATCCTTAGTAGCGGAACCTTCTACTACAGCTCAGACTTTGATCTCACCAGGCGATTACAAGATCGGACGACGGACGCCACTACAGTCTCTATTGATAGCCTGGATGCTGGCTTCCTCTGGAACTCGTACATGATCCAGCCGTTGGTCGATTTCAGGAGCAGGCTCGCGCCCCGGGACAAGGAGGCACTAGATGCATCAGGCATCCTGACGTCTGCCATACGGGGCTTCGCGCTCACCATCACAATCCCAAAGGCTTCGGCCCCTATCAGGGTTCAGGACTCTGGCATGCCCTCTTCAATGACACTCATCTCCAGATTATCGTGCAAACGAGCGGGCACAAGGTTCAACTCGCGAGGTATTGACGACGACGGGAACGTTGCAAACTTTGTCGAGACAGAGACGACGTATTGGGCGCCATCGGGAGCCTGCTTCTCCTACGTGCAAGTACGGGGAAGTGTACCCATCTTCTGGGAACAGCAGGCAGGACTCCTTCCTGGCCAGCAAAAGATCACCATCACACGGTCTCCAGAAGCAACACAGCCCGCCTTTGATAAACATTTTGAAAACCTCGAGTTGAGCTATGGTACAGTACACGTGGTCAACTTGCTGAGCAATGAGAAGCAAAACGAGCTAGAGTTAACGCACCGATATCGTGGCCACATCAAAAATAGTCCTCTAAACCAAGGGGGGGAGATCGGTGATCGAGAGCATGATCTTGTAAGACTCACGGAATATGACTTCCATGCCGAGACGCGAGGACCTGCCGGTTACGAGGCGGCGAGTATGATCGCACGGTGGATCCAGGACTCTGCGGAAAGCTTCGGTTGTTATCTTGCTGAAGAGGTCGCAGAAGACACGAGAAGGAATGGCCAAGACTATCGTTTTCGCCGAACCATGACCATACTGCAACAAGAGGGCATCTTCAGGACGAATTGTTTGGATTGCCTTGATCGGACCAATCTCGTTCAGACCATTATCAGCAAGATGGCACTGGAGATCTTCCTCGGCCACAAGGGCCTCAGAGCAAGCCAGGATTTCTGGGTCAGACACTCGAGTATGTGGGCCGACAATGGCGATGCTCTTTCCAAGATCTACGCTGGCACCGGAGCTTTGAAATCTTCCTTTACGCGATCTGGGAAAATGTCCCTCGCGGGGGCTCTGGCAGACGCACGCAAGAGCGCCACCCGGATGTACATTAACAACTTCGCGGACAAGGGACGGCAAAATACTATCGATATGCTTCTTGGTCGGCTGATTGGCCAGGTTCCCGTGCACCTTTACGATCCACTTAACGACTTTGTGGTTATGGAGCTCTCAAGGCGAATTGGAGAGTATTCGGAAACTGAGATTATAAACATCCTTGTAGGCACGTTCAACCTGAACGGAAAGACGAGTGGTATCAAGAGTGACCTCTCGGCATGGTTATGTCCTGACGTCGATTCTTCAGCGCAGTGCCCTGAACTGGTAGCTGTCGGGTTTCAAGAAATTGTTGAACTGAGTCCTCAACAAATCATGTCAACAGACCCGGACAGACGGGAGGCTTGGGAAGAGGCTGTGAGGACTTGCCTGAACAGAAATGCAGACAAACACCGGAAGGATGAATATGTTATTCTCAGAGGCGGACAGCTGGTCGGCGCTAGCTTGTCTGTTTTTGTTCGGTCAGACTGCCTCAAGCATATCAAGAACGTTGAAGGTGCTTTGAAGAAGGTAAGCTCAAGTGCAACATTCTGTTGGTAAGAGACTGATCAACACACCAGACGGGCATGTCTGGTATGGCGGGCAACAAGGGAGCAGTCGCTATCCGTTTTGAGTATGCCAACACTTCGATTTGTCTGGTCACGGCACATCTTGCAGCAGGCTTCGCCAACTATGAAGAGAGGAACCGCGACTACAAGACTATCAGCCACGGTCTGCGATTTCAGAGAAACAGGTCAATTGAAGACCATGATACCGTAGTCTGGCTCGGCGACTTCAACTACCGAATAGGTCTGAGCAACGACAAAGTTCAGAGGCTGTGTCATGTTGGCGACCTTGAGACCTTATACGACAATGACCAGGTGTGTTGCGCTTCTTCAAAGACTCATGACGGAACTGACGAGTAGTAGCTCAATCTGCAGATGGTTGCTGGTCTTACCTTCCCGTACTACTCCGAAGCCCGTATCACATTTCCACCCACGTACAAATATGATCTTAATAGTGATCAATACGATACGTCGGAGAAGGCACGTATTCCTGCCTGGTGCGACCGTGTGCTCCGCAAGGGCGACAACATTCGGCAAATCCACTACAACGATGCCCCGCTTCGCTTCTCCGATCATCGGCCCGTCTACGCAACTTTCCAAGTTCGAGTACAGCGAGTTGATGAGAAGAAGAAAGATGTCTTGAAAGCATCCCTATACAGGCAAAGAAGAGAAGTCGTGGGAGATACCAGAGCCGCAGGACATCTGGGCGAAGATGAAACCGATGATGAAGACTTGCTTGGTTATGACAGTATCGAACCAGGCCTGCCACCCGCCAGCTCAGATCGAAGGAAGTGGTGGCTTGACAATGGTGATTCGCTTGTGGTTTTTGCTGTAGCATGAATACTGACTTGTCAAAGGTCTACCAGCCAAAGCACGCGTCCAACCGCCATCTAACAACCACTTCCCGAATCCGAACCGCCCTAGCAATCCCTTCACGCCCAGTCCAGAGCCAGAATGGGTAGACGTCAAGCACATGCCCAGTAGCCGCAAGCCAGAGCCACCTCCAGCAAGAGGCTCACAAAGAGCGCGCACAGTCGACTTTGACGGTTTGAACTCTTCTACGAGCCTACCGCAAGGCGGCGCACATGCAGCACAGAACCCCACAGCCCGCAAAATGATCGCACCGCTTTATCCGAGGCATGCGTCGCAGATACTCGACTCAGACGGTATGCGGGAATCTCTCAACGAGCTCCGCCGCAGCGGCTCAAGCGCTTCCACGCACTCCCTCCCCAGTCTTCCCTACCGCGCCTCAAATACCTTGCACCAGAATCAACAACCTAGCACACCACAAGTCCTCCGTAAACCCGCCCCACCACCCATTCCTAATAAGAAGCCGTCCCTACTCTCCAAAGCTTCATCAGCAAGCACATCCACTGCACCACGGCCACAACAACGTTACCGCGACAACCCACCCATGGAGGAATCGAGACCGGAGTTTCCGCCCCCGAGGCGCTCGATGGCGCCGCCGCCCAACATGGCACGCAAGCCTGTGCAGAATCTAATAGATGACGAAGAGAAGCCAAGGTTGCCGCCGAGAACGGGCAGTAACGGGAGTGAAAAGCGTGGGGGAGGGAAGAATTTGATGGACGATGAGCCCGAGGATTTACAGGCGCTGCGGGATTGGGAGGTGCTAAGGCCTGTACGGTGAGCTATATAGGAAGCGGATTATTATTGGCTCATGGGCGATGCGAAATGGCCCTCTAAGTCGGTGTCGTTGGTAGAAAGAAAAAAGAGAGGAAGAGAACGGCTTATTCATAAGTCAAATAATAGGGAGAGCAGCTCTCCGTATATACAAAGTTTCGCGTGTTCATTGTTGTTGTTATTCGTTTCACTCCAGCGAACAAGAAAAAATGAAAGCTAGGTATGCCGATGTGCTGCTCCACGTTTTGTGGCCCCACTTTTCGTCCAACAAAAACCACCTAGGTGCTAGGGCTCCCTGCTTGACCCATACGTACCCGCTCCCAACAATGAAAGTTCGCCCGTCTTTCGGCTAACGTACTAAAAAGTGGACGATATTTATTTATTAATTTTAAATGCTGCCATCGGTTTTGTAGTGTAGCGGTTATCACTCCGGATTCTGACTTTCCTCTATCAGAGTTTTCCGGCAACCCCGGTTCGATTCCGGGCAAGACCTTCTTATGAATGAGTCTTTGTCTCTTTTTGTTGGTGTTGATTGTGTATTCGCTGTTGGGTAATGAGTGGGTAAGGTAGGTAGGGTAGGTAAGGTATGCATGTGGATTTTTTTAATCTTTTGTGGGGACGGTGGTGGTGAACCCAACCGAGTGCGAGATCTGCCGCTCGCTTTGTTGTATGTACACTACAAGTCAAAGCCGAGTAAAGATAGTTTGTGCATTGTCTCATGGCTTATTCTAGTCAGTGGTATCATACGTATGGGTTTTTGTTTTGGTAAGTCTTTTGGATTTATTACTTTCTCTGCTCTGCAATGCAAGGCTCTATGTACATCCTTCCCACATAGCAAGCGTATCGCATCGTGCCAGATCGCTTAGGTTGATCACGTCGCGATTATCAATACTTACTTACTTACATACACATACATACATGCAATCATAACAATAATAATAGGAAAGCTTCGCAAGGCTGCGCGATGCTACATGGCATGCCGCCTGGTATCATAAAAAGGGACACCAAAAGTACTCAAACAGGCAGGCAGGCAGGCAGCGCCGTCGCTAAAAAAAAGAACGGAACAGAACAGAACAAGGCGTAAAGCGCAGGGAGGAAAACGGATGCTCAGCAAAAGAACTTGTAGACTTTCTTCCACCTGGGCCATTTCTTCTTCTCTTCGCGCTCTTCTTCAATCAGCGCTTGGATATTCAGCTCCCGGATGCCCGTGACAAGATCCATGTTGTATGACCGCACGACCGAAGTGCGGAACCACAACTTATAAGGGAAGTAAAAGGCCAGAGTGACTGGCAGTGCGAGGTAGACGCTGAAGAAGCGCTGTAGGCGTCCCGACGTCGTCAACTCGGCCACGTCGATGGGTGAAACGGAGACGTAGAATTGTGCGACGAGAACAAGAGCGTTTAGGAAGAGGCCGACGTAGGATCCGATGAGGCCGGGCTGTGAGCGAAAGGCGAGTTCATCCAGAGTGTGCCCTTGCACTTTCCACCCCTGGCGGAAGCGGATGTGGGCTAGGCAGATGGACAGCCATGTGAAGACGGCTGAGAGAGCGGAAAGTGCGAGCAGCCAGTTAAAGGCAGCGTCTTGCAAATCGCGGTCCGCGCCAGCAAGGAAGGCGAGAAGACCGAGAGATGAGGCGAAGGCAATGGAAACCAGAGGGCGACCCTGGCGGTCAATGTAAGCGAAGATCCTGGGGGCTTGGTGTTGCTCTGCTAGCGCAGCCAGTGTGCGCGAGGAGCCGTAAATGGACGAGTTGCCGACGGAGAGCACGGCGATCATGATGACGGCGTTGAAGACGGAGGGAAGACCTTGAATGCCCGCTTGCTGGATGGCGATAACAAATGGGGAAGCGACGGCATCGGCGCTGTTGCTGTTTTGCAAGAGCCGCGGCTCATCGTAAGGTACCAAAAGACCGACAATAGTAAGGGAGACAATATAGAAGAGCGAGATGCGCCAGAAGACTTGCTTAACAGCAGTGGGCAGAGACTTGCGGGGATTGGCTGTTTCCGCTGCGGCGAGGCCCACGAGTTCGGTTCCGGAAAAGGCGAAGGCAGCATTAACGAAGACGCTGCACAGACCTTTGAAGCCGTTGTGGAAGGGGCCAGGTTCGCGCCAAAACTTGCCGCCAATGTAGCCACCACCTGGTGCACCTCCAATGTTGATAATGATGCCGAGGATGATGAAGCCTATAACCGCAGTGATCTTGATAATGGCAAAGACAAACTCTGCTTCACCGTATCCTTTGACTCTGCATACAATTAGTCTCGGTACTTGGGATAGCGTTTTGACGGTACATACCCAAAGAGATTGATGATGATGATCAGCACCAGGAACACTGCTACCCAGGCATTGTTGTTGACGGCTCCGTCGTTCCAGTATTCGATTGTGAAGGTAGCGGCGACAATCTCCAGTGGTAGTACGACAAGCCATTGCAAAGCATAGTTCCAGCCCATGGCGAAACCCCAAGCCGGGTCCAGGAAGCGGGTCGAGTATGCCGAGAAGGAACCAGCAACGGGAAAAAGAACGGCCATCTCTCCCAGTGCGTGGACAGTGGTGTACAGCATGACACCGACAAGGCAGTATGCAATGACGAGCGATGCTGGACCACCGTTGGCTAGCGCCTGGCCTGAACCGACGAAAAGGCCGGTACCTACCAGCCAAGTTAGCCTCGAATCGGTAGGCTGTTTGACAGATGCCAAACCATACCTATGGAACCTCCAATTGCTATCATCTGCAGATGGCGACCTTTCAGTCTCCGGGCAAGTGGGGAGTTGGCTGTGTTCGCTGCTGCTGCTTCGGGATCGAAGACGGCACCATCGGTGCCCTTTGGCGTCATGGTCATGGCAAAATTGGGATCTCTTTTGAAACTCTCGATAACCCTCCGACCGAGTCCTTCCTGGTACCGTGACGATTCGCCATAGTAATCGGAGCCTTGCGACACTCTCCCAAAACTCTTCTCCGTCCCGTACATATCGTCGTCTATCGTCATGGTCTGTCGATAAGCGCACCGGCAAGACCGGCGGCGGCGGAAGAAATGTAGAGTAAAATCAAGTGCAGCAGTGTGTCGCTGCAGTGCAGGTGCGGGCGTTGGCACGTCTGCTTTTTCTCGTGCGATGTGCGCAGGGGGAGGATGACTGCGGTGCTGAGGTCCAGGGTGATTATTATTGGGCGTGGGCCTATTCTTGAGCGCGAGCTCACAGAGCAAAAAGAGGCGTCCAGGGTCAGGACAGGCCCAGATTGCCGGACGGGTGGAGTGGACCAGGATATGTGTAGCTGCCGGGGAGAGCAGCTGGATTTGGCTTAGGAGGGAGCGACTATATCGCGGCGTGGAGTAGTTTTAATGCGCGCGGCAGAGGCACAAGGTCATCAAATAGGGCAGGACGTCGTTTGCGAGATTGGATTGAATAATGCAACCAGCGGCTTGCGAGTGCGAGGCCGAGGGAAAGCGACCGTTTGTGAGGTCGCATTGAATGATTATGCAAACCAACCAACCAACACCCCTTGGACACGGCAACGTCTGCAGTCATTGCCAGCATCACGCGCCCGAGACATGTCACTACCGCCCGCTTCCACTTGTTTCGAATGCTTCTCCAGCTTTCCGTCGCGCGTGCCGGGACGAGTAACGTCTTTGGGCTCTGGCTGCCGGCGCTATTGTGATGGCGGTGGGGGGGTCGAGTCCTGGTGGCGCTTGCCTCCATGGTCCATCCTGCACGAACCGCGCTGCTGCTTATCGCAGTGAGTGCTAGGTAGTTGCCACTTGCGGCATGTGCTCGCAAGACACATGCAAGACACCAACCGAACACTTCATCGTCGCACAGACTACCCGACCTCGGACTGCGCATCTAGGAGTCACCCTCCATCCCTCAATACGAAGTCGCATTCGGCCTCGAAACCACTAGGTACCGGTATCCCAGCAACTACCAAACCCGACCATGTGAAGCACGACGCCATGATTCGATACCTGCACATCCACTCTGACCACTGCAGTCAGCTCACAACGCGCGCACCATCGACTGCCCTATGGCCCGGAGTACACGCAACGGCTTTCAGTCTTTCAGCTTTCGATGAACGCGTCGGTAAGACGGCTAAATCAGATTGCGTCTTACCGAACTACTCCTACGCTTCTCCATATGAACGCATGCAGGGGTTACCAGGCCTCCCTCGTGCTTCCCAATCTAACCTCGCCTTCTCCAACCATCTCATGCAGGTACAGACGGCAATCCTCCCTCGCTCCTTAACCAGACTCAAGCGTCCAGACCATAGAGAGAGCAAGAAGACGCGTCAAGGTCCAGGGCAAATGTACTGAATCCCGTGCCGCAATAATCTAATTCAGATTTCCCCTACCATACACCTAGGTACTCCCGTCGGCCGGCCCGGTTTGGACGCACTCTCCAACTGCCTCGCACTGCGTGAACACGGGTTCGCTCGTTGCGGTTCTGCATACATTTGTGCTACGTTCAATCTTCGTACCATTTCCCCGTTCAGTCGGATACTTCCGCCTTGCATGTCACCACCCCAACCTCTAGGACTCGGTTTACACCTCAGGCCAAATCGTGACTCTCGTGATATTTTGTTAGGAAATTCGGCTCTGGCGGAACTCTACTGTATATGTGCTTGTTGACTACCTGCCATTACTACTGTGTATGTAGTGAAATACACAGTAGGGAGTACGAAGTAAGAAAACGCCCTGTGGCGCCACGGGCCTCCATACAAACCTTCACCCTACCAACCAGAACCAACCCCAACCGAAACATTAGCCCTGATATCAAACCAGCTACGTTATTCAACGCATAGCCACATGCTGTTGTTTTGCCAGTAAGCAAGACACAACACACTCGCTTGCGATGCGATGCGTCTCACTTCTTGTTGTCAATCGCTTGGATAAACCTACGTATGGGCGACAACGCAACTCCTTTGTAGCACAACATTACCGCACCGTTACCCTAACTATGCGCCCTCTCCCGCATTCCGGCTCTCGGGCTTTTACCTCGTGCACATCACATGGCAATTCCCCTTGCACGGGCGCAAAGCGTTAACATGAAAACTCAGTCGCGCCACGACGCCCAACTCCACCGTGCAATTGTCTGTGTGTGTGTGAGAGAGAGAGACGTCATATCCTTGAAAAGCATACTCAAGGTAACTGAATAATAGCCCTCTCTCTTGCTCACGGCTCAACACCTCCCCACGGATAAAGGTATGATGACAACATCATCCCTCTTGCGCTGAACATGACGCTTCCATTCGGAACCGACTCCAGGGCAGATGTGGTGCATCGTCACACTACCTCCTTCCCACTCCCTTTTCCTTCCAACGTCAGATGTACACTACACCGCCTCTTGGGAAGTCCGATGTGCGACAAAGAGCTGTTTTCTTTTGGGCGTAAGGCCCCATCCCTTCTGATTCAGCTGCACGTAAAGCCTCCTTTGTGTGAGGGTGCCCCCCAGCGTCAAAGTCAATGAATCTTACTCTCCCTTGGTGGGAGGGAAAGGTAGTGTT